GTAGTAACAGTTAGCAACAGTAGTATAACATAGTAGTAACGTAGAGTAACAGTTAGTAACATTTTTAGTAACAGGAAATAACAGTATTTACAACAGTAGTAGCAACAATTTAACATATAGTAACGGTATGTAACAGTAGTATAACGTAGTAGCAACAGTAAGTAACGAGTAGCAACGTGTGTAACGTATAAAAACAGTAGTGAAAAAGAGTGTAACAGTATATAACAGGAAAACAGTAGTACAAATTTAAGAACGTATAGTACAGTAGTATAACAGTAGTAGCAACATTGTAAAAATATACAACATAGTAGAACAGTATAGTAACAGTTAATAACAGTATAGTAAACATATAAAACAGTAGTGAAACATAGTTGTAACAGTATAGTAACAGAGTAGTAACATAGAGAAAATAGCAGAACAGTAGTAGTAACTCTATAACAGTAACAACGTATAGTAACGTATAGAACTGCAAAAAACATAGTAGTAACATAAAATAGTTAACATGTATAACTTTAAAGTAACTATAAAACGTAGTAGAAACAGTAGTATAACAGTAGAGTAACGTAGATAACAGTAGGGTAACAGTAGTATTAACATAGTAGAACAGTAGTAGTAAATACATAACAGTAGAGTAACATTAGTAGTAACAGTAGTGTAACAGTAGTAGTAACATGTAGAAACGAGAGTACATAGTATAACAGTATAGTAACAGTGTAGTAAATTATAACATAGTAGAAACATAGTAGAAACGTAATAACAGATAGAAACAGTAGTATAACAAGTAAAACCAGAAAACAGTCCCGTAGTAACTAGTTAACAGTAGCATAACTTTTGAAGTAACTAGTAGTAACAGTAGTAGTAACGATAGAACGCAGTAGAAACAGTGCAGAAACAGTAGTAGGAAACAGTAGTAGTAACAGTAGTGTACAGAGTAGTAACAGTATTAACAGTATAGTAACAGTTAATGGGGGACTAACCTCCGTTTTAATTTAGTTTATTACGACCTAATTTTTTTATTTTTTTTTTTTTATGTTTTTATCCCGGTTTTTAAATTTTTTTTTTATTCTCCTTTTTATTGCCTCTCTCCTATTTCTTCTTTTGTACCAAAATAAAACATTTGTACCTAATATAAATTTTTTGTACTTGTCATAAACTCTTTGTCTCGATATAACCTTTTTATTTAATATAAACTCTTTGTACCAATAAAAACCCTTTTGTACTGTATAAAACTTTTGGACTCTATTAAACTCTTTGTACTTGATATAAACATTTGTATCTGAACAAACCTTTGACTCTGATTAAAACTCTTTGTACTCTAATATAAACTCTTTGTACCTAAAAAAAAACTTTGACCTGATAAAACTCTTTTACCTGATAAACTCTTTGTACTCGAATAAACCTTTGAACTCTAATAAAAACTCTTTGTACCTGTTTAAAAACTCTTTGTACTCTGTACAAACTCTTTGTACTCTAATAAAAAACTCTTTGTACTCTAATTAAATTTTTTGTACTTGATATAAATCTTTGTACTAAAAATAAAAAACCTTTGACCTTGATAAAAACTCTTTGTACTCTAATAAAACTCTTTGACTTTTAAAAAAACTATTTGACTTGATATAAATTTTTGTACCAATATAAACTTTTTGTATTAAAAAAACTTTTTGTACTCTAATAAAACTCTTTTATCTAATAAAAACTTTTTTGTACTCGATAAAATTTTTGTACTCAAATATAAACTCTTTGATCTGAACAAACTTTGTACTCTAATAAAACTCTTTGTACTCTAAATAAATTTTTGTACTCTGAAAAAAACTTTTTGTACTCATATAAACTTTTGTATCTGAAAAAACTCTTTGTACTCTGAACAAATCTTTTTACTCGATAAACTCTTTGTACCTGTAAAAACTCTTTGTCCCCTTGAACAAACTCTTTGTATCTAATATAAACTCTTTTTACCTATTAAACTCTTTGTACTCTAAATAAACTCTTTTACTCTGATACAAACTCTTTGTATTTTGATCAAACTCTTTGTTCAAATATAAACTCTTTGTACCTTAATATAAACTTTTGTACCTGATATAAACCTTTGTACCTAATAAACTTTTGTACTTGATACAAACTTTTTGTATCTGTTTAAAACTCTTTGTACTCTGATAAAAACTCTTTGTCCCTTTAATAAAACCCCTCTTTGTATCTGAAAAAACCCTTTTTGTACTCTGATAAAACTCTTTGTACCTGTATAAACTCTTTGTACTCAAAAAAAAACTCTTTTTACCAAATTTAAAACTCTTTGATCAAAAAACCTTTGTACCAAATAAAAACCTTTTTGTACTCAAATAAAACCCTTTTTTGTACCCAATAAAACTCTTTGTACTCTGATAAAAAACTTTTTTATCTAATTAAACTCTTTGACTCTAACTTTTCTTATCGCTGTAGACTGATAATATTTTATCATGATTTTCTTTCACTAGAGTACACGTAAGGTCACAGAGAAAACCCG